TCTCTCTCTCTCTCTCTCTCTCTCTCTCTCTCATGTATTCACTCAACAAAACTTTTCCTCAGTAATATACTGCTGTACAGGTGTAGCAGCTAAATTTGGCAGTGTATTTGTATGGCCAACATCTTAACATAATATGTCCAAAATTGAGGAATTCTGTCATTTCTTTTTGAATGTCCCTGCATTGGCATTGTACGTACGTTATTGAGAAATTGAAAGAAATGTTGCTAATGAGCTTAATGTCTTATATTTCACTTCTGTACATGTACCTTTCATATTTGTTTTCTAGAGGTGTGAAGACAACACTTTGGGAGGGAGGTGTGAGAGGTGCTGGCTTTATATGGAGCCCTCTCATCAAAAATTCTGCCAGAAAACTTCCTGATCTCATGCACATCTGTGACTGGCTACCAACCCTGTATCATATTGCCGGAGGTGACTCATCCACACTAAAAAATCTTGACGGATTCAATGTGTGGAATACTCTGTCACAGGATGCCCCCACCCCCAGAGTTGAATTGCTGCATAATATTGATCCCATGTTGAATTATTCAGCTGTAAGGGTTGGCGAGTACAAGCTTATCTTGGGTAATATTTTTGGTGGTACTTGGGATGGCTGGTATGCTCCCGAACAATACCATCTTCTAGATGAAACAGAGCTTGATAGAAACTCACTGCAGTACAAGACATGGCCAGACATTTCTCTAGATTCTGATACAGCAAAAAACATGGTGAAGATGACACAATCTGAGACAGGTAATAAGAAAAATGACATATCACATGAAGTAAAGCCCAATGGAAGAATACTTCTAAAGAGGAGCATTGGATATTCAGACCAAAAGAGTGATTTCATGCCATTTTCTGATAAATTGGCAGCACATTTTGGGATGTCTGCAATTAATTCTGGGAAGCATGCAATGGAATCTGGGAAATCTCTAAAAAATCATGGAATTGAAAATGACGTGGTGTTAGACAAAGAGCTTCTTGGCATTGTGTCCCGATATATTCCAGTAGATGTGGACACGTTTCACCTCACTGTGACTCCAGATGTGGTGACTTGTGGAGCCAAGCCTGCCAATGCTAGTACCAACTGTCAGCCCACCAATTCACCCTGTCTGTACCACATTGTGAAAGACCCTTGCGAGTACAACAATATAGCAAATGAAAATCCACAACTCGTGGCAAAAATGTTGACAAGACTGAGGGAATTCAATGCTACTGCAGTGCCCCCTAGGAATAAACCACAGGACTTGAGAGGCCTCCCTATATTCAATAATGGCGCCTGGGGACCATGGATGGATGGGCTATGAATTTTCTATTTTGTATTCTTTCTGTTTCCCTATTTTTATCTCCTTTAACAGTTTGAATTTTAATTGTTCACAGTCCTTTTGAAATGAAATGACATACTTTGCATGGGTGCTTGATGTTAATTTTTTTTCTGTCTTTTGTATTCTTTCTGTATCCCTATTATTATCTCCTTTAACAGTTTGAACTTGAATTGTTCACAAATCGTCTTGAAATGAAATGATATTCTTTGCATTGGTGCTTGATGTTATAATTATGGATGAAAGCAATCTGAAAGTCTAATGCATTTCTTTTCTCCATCTCTATTATTGGTCTCTGGGTTTAATGTATGTACTGTGCTATTTCTTTCAATCTTGTATGTTTTAATGTATGTTTTCTCCAACTATTTGATCAAAACTGTTTTTGCTTATCATTTGTTAATGATTTTTTACTTAATTTACTGTAGCATAATTTTTCTATAATTGACTCAAAACAATAAAGACTGTCCTTTTGTTGTCAGATTTTAATTTGGTGGTTCTGGTCTGTACATTGTAGATGATGTACTCGGGGATTTTTACAATCCTTGGAAGAAAATCTTAGTTACCTGACACTTTAGGATTAGATGAGATCTGTTAACATGTGAAATAATAAGTTTATACCATAGAAAGCACTTGCCTTTTCTATAAGTTTTCCAGATTTATTTCACTTTTGACTGCTGTCCCTGGAAAGTGGTTTTTGCTTCCTGAAAAACGGGAAGGCATGTTTGTTATCTTCTATTTCCAATTCCTCAAGCCATCCCTGCTCAATATGCTACATCAACTAAAATTACATATCAAAAATTAGTTCCTTTTTCTAAATGTCCTGGATCTGCCCTTATCAGTACCACCAGGGTGTACATTGGTGGCACTTATGGTTTTAGTCCCGACCAGTCTCATACAGCTCCGCAGGCTCCGCGGGGTAGTGTGGGATACAAGTCACCGTTACCTCTTCTCCGCAAGGACCTGTGTCCCCATCTCTTGGATTAAGGTCACAACTTGAACCGCCTGGTTTTTCTTTAAAATTTTGTCTCAGGTGGTGCATTGGCCTGGGCGTGACGCTTATTGAAATGCACCCTTGTCAAAATTTTTTTGAAAATTCAATGCTAAATATCTTCCGAACCGAAGGAAATATGGGAAAAATTACTACAGAAGTCAGATCGAAAGTCATATGTAGAGATTTCAAATATGACCTTGTATTTCAAGGTCAGATGGGCCAAAAACTTTTTAAAATGGGATTTTTTTGCAAAACAAAAATTATTTCTGCCGATTTTCAGAAAGTACACAGACCTAAGTAACCTAACCTATTACACTATGGGCAGGTGTTTCCCTTAACATCATCTTTCATCTTCGTGAATTTGGGGTCAATGGGTGCATTTTCACAGGAGAAGTGGCCATTAGATGCCGAAACTGAAAACTCTCTCTAATATTCTAGAACTGTAAATGCTAGAGATCTCGTTTTTCGCATTTTATAGAGCTTGTCAAGTGCAACACTGAAAGCGGTGTCCATTTGTTTGTTTTCCATACGGATTCTGAGTTGCATTATATCAAAAGTACAGTACAACGTGGTGGTGAAAATGAAATGTGAAATACGGTAATTTCCTGTGAAATTTTGAATGTCAGGAAAAGATAACATAAGGCTTAGCAAGATACAGACAACTTCCGGTCAAAAATGAAAGAATTTCATGAAATTCGAACATCTGGAATTTCTGAGCACCTCAAATTTCATGAATTTCAACCAAAACGATATTTTCTTTATTTCAATTAATTTCTCCTATACGAAATTCATGGCGCATTACTGCAACTCCAAAATTAGAAAAGATACACCCATTTTAGCCCCTTCTATCTCCAAAACTGGCAGAGATAGGCCCATAGTTACAATTGAACTTGAATAGGATATTGAACGAACAACTTCAATAAATTAACCCAAGTATTTTTAAGTCTTTGATTAAACCAGCCCGACTTATTCCACTATTAGTTTATAAATTTTTACACATTATTGAAATCTGGAGTTTTTTTTTATACTTATGAAGTACTAACAATATATCGTAGATTAAAGCTCGAAAGATTGTTCACGCATTGCAAAAATATGTTTTCAATTTTAATTTGGCAGTTTTAATTGTGTAGTTTATTTAAAAACAACAGTTTTCACGCACGCTCCTGTCAATATACATCGACGGGCTACTTATTGCCCCGGCCCTTTATAAAGTACGAACAAAACCGGTACTTTTTATTTTACCTGGTCACTAACATCATTATCTCGGCATTTTTTCTCTCCGCAGCTCACGAAAAAAAAAGACAAGGTTTTATTTTTTATACCATTCGTTTTTTAAAAATGATCCAAAAATATTCATTGGGTGTAAAAGAACAACGTTATACCATTCGTTTTTTAAAAATGATCCAAAAATATTCATTGGGTGTAAAAGAATAACATTAATTCGTGTATAGTCATTTTACATCATATCCAGAAAAAGAATGACAACTGATTTTTATCACAATTAAAAACGCTTGTGAAAGAACCCGGGACTCTTTCATGTTGTTAAATTTCAGTCTCTCGATTGAAATAAAGAACCCGACGTTTTTTAGCGCTGCAAAAAGAAAAAGAAAATAAACTACCCCCTACCTCCAGAATGTTACGACATGTATTTTTATAGACGGGTATGACTCAAATTCAAACAGGCTTATTCAACTTTGATGGAAGCTGTCAAGCGCACACGACTATGAATGACAGTTTTTTAAACAAACGTCAAACACAATTACTACACTCTTCTCTCCGAACATTTAAAACTCCAATATCCTTTGATTGACAAGATGACAATCAAATTCGTTAGTTTTGTTAGTTGTTGTCAAGTAATAACAGTTTGATTGGCAGGTTATATAAACAAACGTTAATTACAACCATTACACAGTGGATCACTATAGTCACCCAACACGTTTAGTTCAAGCTTCCTGCATCCTTTGATTGACAAGGTGTCAATCAAATTCAGTTAGTTTTGATAGTTGCTGTCAAGTTATAACAGCTTGATTGACAGGTTATATAAACAAACTGTGATTTTTCTCGCTGTGAAACAGTGAGTACGCCGAAAGAGAGCGCTAAAATCTGAAGTTAGTAGTTAACTTGCAAAATATTTCAAGAGAATATATACAACATGTTTCCAAAACTAGTTTTCTTTCTGAACCCCGACACTCTAGATTACAAACTATTTTGTAAAAAGAATAAATTAAGCAAAAAAAAAACACTTTAAAAACAGTTTCAAGTAAAGAAACATGACATTTGACGTTATTCTGGAGGTAGCGCATGGGTCATTTCAAAATTAGTACAACTATGTGCCCTAGTATGTGCGTGGAAGAAGGAAGAATAAATGTATTTGCATTATGTGTGGAATATTGGCAGATTCTTTTACTGTCAAAGTCTACTTTCTGCGATACTAATTCATCCTCATTAAAGGTGACATTCGTGTTGTGGTTGAGGTAAGTGGTTTAATTTTTGCGAGGCTAAATGTTAGCAAGGACCTGTGATAATAAGTGGATGAGAAACAAAAATATAACTGTAAACAAAACCATTACTATCCTGTTTAACAAACAAACCACTACTTCGCTCTGGTAACAATTTTGTTAGTTTATTTTACTTCAGTAAAGCGTGGATAAAATAGTTCAAAACGCCATCACAATGCAGTTGTTTTTGCGACTTTAGCTGCTGGGGTTAGGTGAAGGGGCGAGGGCAGGGCGGATCCAGGATTATTAGAAGGGGGGGGGTCCGGAACGACAGGCTTCGGATGCGAAGCCCCTGACTTACTGGGCACATCAATTTGAAAGCACAAGATTTTTATTTAAAAGCAGCAGAAGAAAAGAAACTACAGATAAAAAGACANGTCATGGTGTGTAGGAATGGAGGACCTCTACGTAAATATGAACAGTTTTACTACAAGGGTAACAAACTTGAGACTGTTTCACATTATAAATATCTTGGGGTGCTAGTATCAACACGTAATAATTGGTCATCAACTCAACGAAATAATGCGGCTAAGGCTCTACGAGCGATTACAATGCTGAGATGTTTTGAGAAAAAATGCGGGAGGCTAGCATATAATATAGCCTTTCATATCTTTGATAGTATGTTTCTGCCTATTTTGTTATATGGCGCAGAGATATGGGGTACAAATTATGTTGAGGTGATAGAGAAAGTGCAAATCAAATTTTGTAAATATTTCTTAGGTTTACCAAGCTCCGCATCAAACGCTGCAGCCCTAGGAGAATGTGGAAGACTACCTCTGACGGTGCATTATCTCACACGCAGCATTAAATACTGGTTGAAATTATTATGTATGGGACGAGACAGGTACCCAAGGAAATGTTACCAAATGTTATATAACCTAGAGCTGTCCGGTAGAATTACATGGGCTAGTAAGATAAAACATGTATTATTCAGCTACGGCTATGGTGTGTTATGGCTGTCACAAGATATAGGAAATGTTGATTTCTTTTTAAGTGAGTTTACTCAACGGTTGAAAGACACTGCATTTCAACAGTGGTCCGCTGATGTGAAGGGCAATAGTAAGCTGAATAGCTATAGTGAGTATAAAACTATGCTAAATGTGGAGCGCTATTTAACTGTAATTACGTCATGGAAGATTAGAAATGCCTTATCACGGCTTAGAACCTCGTGTCATGATCTAAAAATCGAGAGGGGTAGACATCAAAATATAGATCCCAAATTTAGACATTGTGATTTCTGCTGCAACGCTTATAATGAAGCATACATAGAGGACGAGTACCATTTCGTGCTTGTGTGTCCACGATATAATGGTTACAGAGCAAAATATATTCCCGGCATTCAGGCAAACATATTCAACTTCAATAAGCTCATGAAATCTGAAGATGCAACTCTCTTGACAAATCTGTCAATGTATGTGTATGAGTGCTTCAAACTTAGGGATATATACATGTAGAAGGCATAAATTTGACTCCTGTTACTGTAATGTAATATAGGCTGGTGGCCTAAATTTACGTAAATAAACATCATCAT